CGGGCCAGATGGCTGTGCCTGCGGTGGGCCTGCTGCTGCTTGTTTGAATGAAGGGCGACAGCCTTGAGGTATTATGATCAAACTGACCGGCCCTCGATAATTCAGAATTGTATGTCCGCCCCCCCCCCCCCCCCCCCCACAACACACACACACACAACAATAAAACAGGACCTTATGGCCCTGGCTCCATTTCCATTCTGGGGAGCATCAGTGCGGTTCCTATTCCACCGGCGAGTCAGAATGTTACATCATGACACACACTCACATTTCCTTCCGTCTGGTCGAAGGAACCCTGACCAGCATTGATTACTCCAGCATCGTGGATTGACTGTCAGCTGGCTTTTCCACATGATGAACCTGTCAGATAAATAACAGAGAGCAAGAAAGGTAAAAGAAGCTATGGAGGATGCAGTCTCCGAATCTGCCCTTCAATATTACGTGGCCTGTGATGGATCTGCTGGCTGGGATCTCTGCCTTCTCCACCCTGCTTCTGAGTTGTGGCAGTCTTTCCACCGTATGCAAAGGTCATCTATCTTTGCTACTTTGCCCCCTGCGAGTCACACCTTAGTGAATTTTGCCTTGATTCTTCTCTGTTGCTCTTCATCATCTGGCATGGAGTGTCTCATCTTATGCCACTTACAAATAATCTCTGCCTGAGTCAAGGTCCTTGTCTCCGCCCATACCTTCCGCCTTGGAGTTGAGAGTGCCTCAATGGCTCTGCAGCACCTTCCTTCCAGATGGACCAGAGTGTTACCTTTCTGATCATTCCGAACCACGTTTTCTCTGTCTTGTGGAATTGAGCTGGGATGTTAGTCCATAGGAGTTGGATGGGGTGTTCACGGAGGGGAGTCGAGAAGAGGGACTCCCAAAGATCTGACACCTCTCTACAGCGTCTCAGGCAATGTAGCATATTCTGTCGCCTCTCTACAGCGTATCAGGCAATGTAGCATATCTTCTGGTTCATTTCTGAACATACCACACATAAATCTGAACTGTTGGGGTCATTCTTACTTCTTCTGATATGCAGCCACTGGTTAACCTGTTGAGCCACGTATGAGATGAGCCATTGGAGGCTTCTGATTTTGACCGGACGGATTGATTTGAAATTTTAGCATGGTATTTGTGGGATCTGACTACCGTCCTGACCTATTAACTTCTGCCATCTGTTCTTGATCGTTGGGTCAGGATCCTTTGTTTTGAGGAGTAAGTTGTATCCCAGTTTGACTGTGTATTCCTGGATGGGGACATTCGTTTTGAGACTTCTGCTTCTGTCTGGTGTCCAAGCCCACTCTGGTGGATCAAATTCCCAGTCTTGAATCCCCGTATCTATTCTTAAGATTGTTTTTTAACATGATCCCAACACTCTTACTTTTCTGAGAACAAAAGGGTTTAGGACTGCTCTTTGCACCTCCTTGCATGGAGGGGGTAATTGGGAAAGAGGTAAACACAGCCAGGGTATCCGACCCTTGCTGTTTATGGGAAAATTGATAGGCCGTTGAGGGGGTTAAATCGTGCACCCTCACTCCCCATTCACCCGATTTCCAGGTTGAGGCTTCGCTCAACAACTCCTTCCAGCCTTCCGGGATGCAGTTGATAATGGATTGTAAATTCTCGTCTCGTCGTTGACATCCTTTGAGCTGGGAGGCCAGTTCCTGTTCTGTCACCCAGTCCTTTTTCTCCTTGTTCCACAGATGGCTCACTTTCCAAACTCCATGTTTGATTCATGATAGCCATTTCCTTCCTCTAGGCTTAAGGGATAGTTAGTGATAACTTTCGTCTCTCACCCACTGATTACCAAACAGGGGTTGCCTCAATATCTCATCTTTGAATTTGGGTCTACCCACTTTCTTCGACATGACTTCCTACCATATCCGTAGCAATGCAGTCCAATATGGTGTGGGAGCCCTGGCTGTGACACCCAACCTCACGCCCAGCGCGACTTCCTGTTGGGCCCGGAAGTGCATAGTAGGGACGTGCCAAGGATTTTAGGAAAGTGGGGGTGGAGTCCCAGGCCAAAACTGAGATCTCTGGTGCCAAGTTTCAAGGACCGGGATGCAAGTGGTCCAGCTTAGGACCAGATCTTCGGTTTTGCCCTTCTCATAGCCAAGCAACTTAGTTTCGCCGACCTCGTCGCTTGGGGCGGGTTCGTACTTGGTGTACGGAGGGAACACAGTGGGTGTCTCTCTGTGTAAGCACTTGTCGTCGACGGGCTTCGCAGATCTCGGAATCTGACGTGGACGGCCTCAGTCGGAGGCTGTGTTCTCGGCACTCAGCTTCGGATCGGGTTCGTCTGATATAACTCATTCATTCGGGTGTACAAAGCGCGACAGGGTCGGGGACGGATCATGCAGATACGCGTATACGTGACGACTGTCGTTCTGGTGATCATTCGTATACGTGTGTGCACATGATCTGTTCCAACAAAATTTGAGCCAACCTATAACGCATACAACTAATCTACTCCTTTTGTTCTTACGAAGAGATGGTGTCCGTATACTCAGTGCAAATCAGACAACCGTTCGATGGGCTGAAGGAAAAAGAGAAGGAATAATATTCCTACTCATCAGATGCCAATCGCCTCTGGACCATGCATGAGGAAGACCCAACCCATACCTAAGCGCGTGCATAGAAGCGGTCTCTGAACAGACTGTAATCTACCCGCTATGCATGCATCTATCCTGACCGGAGTTTATTCAGGGAGACAACTTCTGTAAGCTTAATGCAAAAATAGAGTGTCGATCGATGTTACACACACAGAAACATGGGCGTAAAAAAAGGGGTTGGGTTCCATACATCTTTTCATACATCAGCAGGGCACCAATTCCACACTCATCAGAATCCTTTGTCTCTGTGATCGACGACTCTCCATGCAAATCGTTCAAGCAATCAATCAATTTTGGAAATTGTCATACATTCTGAATTGAAAAGGAAGAAATGGGGGCGAGAAAGAAAATTCGTACATCAATCAAAGAAAAGAAAATCTGAGAGTGGCGCAAACGAAGATGGCCGAAACCAGAAATCAAAATTATACAGAGGATGCGAAGAGGTAACACCACTTCGACACCTCTCTCTCTCTCTCTCTCTCTCTCTCTCTCTCTCTCTCTCTCTCTCTCTCTCTCTCTCTCTCTCTCTCTAAGTTCCCACGATGAGGGCAGTCCATCGCCTCACACCTACCAACAACCCGAAGTTGTCATCCCGCTTAGTCCGAGTATGCAAGTCAGGTTTGCCCGTGTGCCACAGCCCTTCGCGACCACACGTCAACCCCGCATACCCAGCACCAGCTCGTCGGATGGAAGCGGCCTTGAACTCCCACGGCCGGGAATGGAAGCACCCTACGGGTGCATGACGGAGAATGGGGGACGTATCCGCTCTCCACGCATCGATCCAGTCATGCACCTGCTTGGCCAATGAGATAGACAGGAAAAAGGCGTTAAGTTTTGCACGAAAAAAAAAACATAAAGAAGGGAGAGGATTACAGTTACACCTGCGCTTGCCAAGAAAGAGCAAGAAGAGATTACAGTTGCGATTAGAATTTAGGCGCGGTGGGAGCAGAGCACAGGACAGGACGCAGCAATGCGCGCATGAGTAAGGAGCACGGGGCAGTTACAACAGCAAAAGTCCGCGACAAATTATGATGCCCCCAATTCCTCAATCAATTAAAATCCCAATTCCCGTAATCCCTCGTATTTCAAAATTTGAAAGAAAAGATTTCTCCCACGTGATGATCGCGCCAAAGTTCTCCTCCCCACTTTTAGCAGAACAAGAAAGAAGCTATGGCAACAATTATTTCCGCGCTCGCTAAGGCGCGATCAATTACCAACCGACGTGGGACCAGACATTTTTCAAAAAGACGGGGGCATTCATGCAATTGAGCGGGCCCCTCCCGATCAACCCCTGAAATACCGTCGCACAGAAAGTTGCGCATTTACAGAAAGCAGTTCGTCACATGGCTTCGTTTGGACCGATTCCTCTTCTCTGATTTCTGCGCCCTGTACCTGGGCTTCATTCCTTGGTCATTACCCAGAACAGACTGGACATGTTTGTTGGCGAGGCTGTCGGTGCTAGGCACCTGATGCTATCCAAGGCCAGATTATTCCATGCCATACCAGGTTTAGTCGGTAGTTTGACTATCCATTTAACTTGTAAGGCTGTGATTTCCTGTTTGGGGTCTTTGATACCAAGACCTCCTCTGGCTGGTTTCCTTGTGATATAATGGCAGACTATCTTTGGTATAAAGTTCTCTTTGTTGGGGTCTTCGGACCACAAGTACCCTCTTGCTTTGCTTTACAGCACCAGTACATGGCCCCAGCCAAGTTGAGAGTCCGATTGAGCCCTCTCCTAAAACTTAGGAGGCTCGTGTGCCATCGATAAAATAAATTGATGGCCCGCGGCCTCCGAAAGGGCCCCGCGTCCAATGGCTGGCATGTCCTGGTGGTTTAAAAAGAATTTTTGGAAACCCGTCTTTCATTCAATCATCTAAATGGCAACTTTGCTGGTAAATTCCATCTGTACAATCTGGTGGTGTGTTCTGCTTTCAGCTCTGGTATCTCATTCTTGGGTAGTGTGATCATCTTTCTGTTCAGTGATCATAATCTTTGCTATCATCATAGAAGTTGTTTTTGGCTGAATGGGATGCTGGACCCGTTTTCGAGCAAGTCCAAGCCGGGTAAGCACCCCGGTATCATCTCTTGTATTTCGTTTTCATAATCAACGCCTTTATAGGCTCCTTGCACCAAAAAAGAAAAAAGAAAAAGAAAAGGAGAAAACTCCACAGCGGGAACCGAGGCAGACACAGCATCCTGAGACAGCGACGCCAAGGCCCGTTTAAAAAAAAAAAAAAAAAAAAAAAAAGGTGGGCTGCCCCGAAAAGGAGAGGCTCTCAGAGAAGCACTTGAGTAGGGAGATAAGAAGGGAACTTAGTTCAGAAGATAGATATTTCAGTTCACACCGGCTGTGACCTTAAACCATCAGTACCTCTGAAAGTCGCTCCCGGGTTGCGGCCACGACTTTCGGAGGATGAACGGGCCACTACCAGAGTGCCCAAATTCAGCCAAGTTGAAACGCTTCCACTCTATTTTTTCCCGCGACCAATAATGGAAACGTACTGGTGGTGTAAAGATGTTTTCAGAAAGAGGCTTACCTTTGAGTCAATTCTCCTCGAAATGGACTAGTCAATGGTCATCAGCCTGGTGTTCCCTTGGCCATAACGGAAGGAAGTGTGTGTCTGATGGTTGTATCTTCTGTAACTTGCCTATGGAAAAGGAACAGACTGTTCCTCTTCAGAATAGAATGGAGCCAAGACCATACAAGCCTTGTTTACAAGGAAAAAATAGTGTTTCAACTTTTGTAACCTTCCCCCCTCCTCTGTCAAGAAGGGATCATTGAACTTCAGGAATCACAGTGAAGCTGCAAGAATGTACACATGGTGGCATAAGCCGCACAAGGCTTGGAAAAAGAAGAATATCACAAACTATGCTTGTGAGGGAAAGGGAAACTGATACCCATGGTGCACGCAATTGCCCTGTAATTTGTGGAACTCAACGAGTAGGCTCGTGGAAGCGGCTATGAACACAGTGGGGATCTCTACTTGGCAGTGATACTTGAATACCGTAGTAAGAACAGCACTGGTGATGGCAGGTTGAAGGAAATCTCTAGCACGGCAGCTCCGAATGAAGAGATTGAAGTAGGCGCAAAAAAAGGTGGAGAGGATGCCCGGGAGGAGGAGCGAAAACCAGAGTCGAGAGAAGACAAGAGGGGAACATCAAGGGAGGCATCGACACGTGGGAAACCTCACACTCGAAATGTCTCGAGGGCCGAATCACGGAAGGGGAATCTACAGGCATCAAAGGCAGACAACGATGCCAACGCGGAGGACCCTGGCATTGTGGAAGAAAAGGAGAAAGTGAACGGAATATCCAGCCACTTTGAATCCATGCATCATTCGGAAGGATTGAAAGAAGAAGACAGTAAGACGACAGCGGACTTGGCAGCCTTGGCCCTTGCAACTACTTGTCCAGCAGATCGAGAAGGGAAGCCATTGGCTGGATGCTATATGGTACCAGAAGGTAGTAATATTTCGTCTCGACTTTCATTGCTCTTTATCGGTTCGACACCATTCTCATCATTCACCTTGTCTTGCATGCAATCTTCAAGGCTTGACAGTTGCATCAGTTTGCTGGCTAGTTCATTTAGCCTCCGTGGTCACCTTTTCTTGTTTTCCTTTTCTTCTCTTCTCCAATGCTAAAGGGAAAAGCAGGCTGCAACTCATGTGGCCTGTTGGGCCTGAATGGCCCCAGGGAATCTGGGCCGCTCGTTGAGGCCCGGTTGGAGAGTGGCAGGCCAAGGTAGTCCAGGGTGTATTTGGGCATTATTTCAGCTTGTACTGCTGCATTTTGGCTGCGCTGCCTCTCGTTCAACCTGGACTGACTCAATTTTTGGCCGGCCGAATGAGCAGTCGTGCAGCCTGATTTCGCCTGCCCGTTTTTTCCTTTTTTATGAAAATGGTAGCTGGTTTATTAATAAGACTGCAAACCGGGCCCAGCGTCCCTTACATCAGAAACACACAGAACGCTTCCCTTTGTAATCATCGTCAGCACGACTGATTACTTCCCGTAACGGGAAGCATGTAATGCCACATCCTGCTCTCTTGGGAAACCAACCTTCCTCTCTTCTCTAAGTTGAACATCTGACTAATGTAACACTGTGTCTGGGCGGTCCCTCTTTGAGCGCTGTTGAACTGCTAGTAAAGGACGATTGAAGCAAGGACGCCCTAGACTTGTTCCTTCGTCCTGTGAGACTTTTTACGTGAACCTAGTACCCAAGACTGGAAACCGGGTTCGGTGTCCCTTGAACCGCAAGTACACGGCCCCAGCCTTGCAGAAAGTTTTTGTCGCCACAAGCAAAAACTCAGAGGGGCCGCGCGGCGTGGGGCGCCGTTGAAAAAAAAAATTTGACCGCCTGCGAAGTGGTGTGGGTTTCGTGCTGACACCCGTGGGCCGATGTGTCGTGTACCGGTGCTTTAGAAAAGTAACCTCTTTTACTGAACAATGAAGAGAATATCCTGTTGGGCTCTGCTATTTCGAATCTGGCTATCCTAGGGCAGGCCCTCCCAATTAACCCCTGCTCCTCTTCCCTCGTGACGATACCCTCCAGGCTTGACAACTGGGTCCAGCATCCACTAATTACTAATTACTAATTAGTCATTCTTGTATGCTGCTCTGTGCCTCGATGTCAGGATAGACTTGACGGGCCGACTCTCTCAGTTCACAAAAAAATGCGGACGGCGAGGAGGACATAGTAGAAACAAGGCATACCCAAACCATTTCTGTGCTCTGCCGCTTATTTAGTATTTCCTTACTCTCTCGGCTGGACTTTCTATATCGGATTTTCCATCTAGAGACTCCATCTCTTCTTCCTGCCCTCCTCCAATATCTCCAGAAATCTCTCCACTCCGATTACGAACGAGAAGGTTGCGGCAGAGCACAGAAATGGTTTGTGACCTGCCTTGTTTCTACGATGTCCTCCTGGCAGTCCCCATTTGCGAACTGAGAGGGTCGGCCTGTCGAGTCTATCCTGACATCAAGGCACAGAGCAGCATACAAGAATGACTAATTAGTGGATGCTGGACCCGGTTGTCAAGCCTGGAAGGTATCATCACAAGGGCAGAGCAGGGGTTAATTGGGAGGGCCCGCCCTAGGATAGCCAGACTCGAAATAGCATAGCCCAACAAGATATTCTCTTCATTGTTCCGTACAAGATCTGACTAATGTAACACTGTCTGGGCGGTCCGTCTTAGAGCGCTGTTGAGCTGCTAGTAAAGGACAATTGAAGCAAGGATGCCCTAGACTTGTTCCTTGGTCCTGTGAAGCAGGTAAGGCAGCGATCCCGGCAGGAGCACACCTTTATCCTACCTGAATGGAACTGGGTGTATCTATCTTCTTCACCAGTCATCCTTCCTTGTCGACCAAGAAAGCACCCCGAGCAAGTTACCACAGCGACGAACGATTCCAATCTTCTTCAAGGTAAAGTATGTAGGAGAAGCAGACGCACCACCACGCAACAGCCAGCCTGATGACGGCATAGCACCGCCACTCCAGTCACCTGCCAACCATCGCTCTTCTTCACACTCACCCATCACTGTGATCGCAGTGCTCCTTTGCCCAGATGGTGGCCGGCTATGCCACCACCAACCACTGCCCTGGCAGACACCACTGTCCTGCACGTGCGCCCACCGGCTTGATCGTAATGTGAATTGTCCCGCGCATTCTCCCTGGCAGCGCAGTGGTATGTGTTCTCCGTACATCATGCCGAGCAGCACTAAGTTACAGCCTTTTCCATTGATCCTTCCAAAATTTCAGTTACCTCAGGCATCAATGATCTATCCAGATGTTGCATGAATTCATCGCTTGCCCTCTTTATTCTCGTCTGTTTTTTCTGTTGATGTTTCACTTGTGCAGAGATTTTGGAAAAAGGAGGCATCTGTATCAAGGATTTGGGTTGTCTTTGTTGTGACTAGATTATCTTGTTTGTTTCTAGAGTTAGCCTCGTCTAATAAGTACTTTGTCATTTCCTAGTTTAGTTCCCCCTCTCTTACCCTTGCCCTCACTTGTAAACCTTACAATTCAACTTTATTCCTTCTTTTTTTTTTTTTTTTTTTTTTTTTTGGAAAACATGCTCCAATCTGTTCGTGGGGAGCAACACGTGCTGGGAACCGGGCCCAGTGTCCCATTTGAGAACATATTGGAAAACATATGCAAAAGCAGATTGAGCATGGTAACCGCCCAGATGTCCGGACCGGGTTCCAGACAGTCCGGTGTCTGGTGTCCGGTCCCCATGTCTGGATGGAGGCCCCTGGGGCAAAAATCCCAAAAAAAAAAGGGGCGCCCAGGACGTTTGTCGGGTCCTAGCTGCCCCTTGAAAAATAACGGGGTGATTTTTAAGTGTCCTTTCACCCCACCGGACATGGCCTAGAGCTCCAGACACAAGACGCCGCAGGTTTTTGAGGTGGCAGGTTTCGCACAGGCCCGAGCAATTTCAAAGAGGCAGTTTCGATGTGGCGCCCGCCGCTGCTGCCTGTTGTGGAGAGAGAGAGAGAGAGAGAGAGAGAGAGAGAGAAAGAGAGAGCACTGACAGTGCTGCCAGTCTGAAGACTCTGACGTTCTGAATTGAACTGCAAAGTTCGAACTTTTAAGTTATAAATGAAGTTATGAACTTTTTTTTTTTTTTTTTTTTTTTTTTTTAAATAAACCCTGCCAGCATTGATTACCCTGAAAGGCAGAGGATTGACTGTGCAGGCCCTCAACAGGTTTGAAATCCAGAGAATTTGGCTGATCCTGAACCTGCCAGCATTGATTGCTCTGGACGCCAGAGGATTGACAGAGCAGGTTATTCCAACGTCAATTCAGAAGGCTTCATCCGGCACTCCCCTGATCAGTCCATTGTGCTGTGTACGATAAAAAAAAATCACCAGCACTTCCCCTGGTCTGTCTAAAATTACTTGACCCACACGCGTTGCATCCCTCTTAGGGCAACCCAGCCGCCTGCCACCACTGTTGGTCCTCACCGAAGGGTCCTCAGCCATGCAAGAGGGAGGGCGAAGAGGATCTGGTCTAGCCTCTCACCTATTTTATGCGGTTGGGAAGCTTTGTTCTCAGCTGTTCCTCTGAGACCCTGTTAGCCCTGGTTTGGTCCCAGAGATCCCCTACCCTTGTGACCCCATTTCTTACCCATCCCTTCCACGGACGGCTTGAGCTGAGAAAGACCTGCCCCTGCAAGTCTGTCACCCATCGGTTTCCAAATAGAGGTTGGCGCAAAACTTCCTCCCAACGTTCCGGGAATGACCTATCCGGAAGCGGGAGCCTCCTCCAGTCTTTAATTAGGTTGATCCAAAATTCGTCTTTCCTCTGATCCTTACGGGCTGCTGCCCACTCTTAGTGTGGTTGTGGTCGGGTGGGGGGTCTGGGAAGTGCCCAGAAAACATCATCTAACCATGTCATTGGGTGTATGGTAGAAGCAGCCTTTGGTGCTAGTCTCGAGAGTTGTTCCCAGGCCAGGGGCTCCCAGGTGAGTCCGGGGGTGCAAATAAGCCGCTTCAACCATTGGAGTGAAAGGGCGGTCATTTGGGTGGCCGAGTCGAGTATCCCCAGACCACCTTGCGACCTTGGCTGTACCACTGCATCCCAAGCCACCCGACTAATGGTATGATGGGCTTCGTGGTTGCGTCTCCATAGGAATGCTGCTACCTGCCATCTCAGGGCCTTTGAAGCCTCTCTGGTCAAGGGCCAAATTGCTGATTTATACCAGAGTGCCCCGAGGACCATATTATTTATGACTAGGGCCCTTCCCAGGAGAGATGTGTTTTTATCCTTCCAAGCTCCCAGCTTTTGCAGGGCCGGAGACATTATCCAATTATCATTAGTGACCGGTTTTCCTTCCGCTGAGAGTTGGATTCCCAGGACTCTGATGGGGGTTTCGAGGGGAAGCCAAGTCACCTTTGGGCTCTCCGGGGGTCTACCACCATCATGATGCATCCACCACCCCAATGTTTTGCTGCCCCAATTGATTGCCATATCAGAGAGGGAGCAAAAACGGACCATCAATCTTTCAATTTCCTCCATATTTTGAGCGGAGGCCTCCACCATCAAGTTGAGGTCATCGGCAAAGAGTGAGCACACCTGCAATGCGTCTTGTGGGATGGAGGCCACCCTAATTCTACTGATGTTTCGGCTGGCTCTAAGATTGGCCGCCAAGGCCTCCATTACTACGACGAAAAGGTATGGTGCGATCGGGTCTCCTTGGCGGACAGATCTCTGTAGCGGAAATCTGGGGCGAGGCTTCCATTTACCTGAACACGCGTGGTGACATTTTGGTGGAGAATACGTACCCATTTCCGAAAAGATTCACCAAAGTTCATTTTTTCCAGGCATATATCCAAGAAATGCCAATCCACGTGGTCATATGCTTTTTCAAAATCTATAAAAATAAAGGCGGCATTTCACCTAGACTGTCGAGCTAATCGTAACAGCTCATTAACTAGGAGGATGTTGCCATGAATACGCTGCCCTTT